ATTCCCATGTAATACCACATCAGCATGTAGATCTAATTCTTCATATTTTTCCATACTGCAGATTTGGGACACAGCGGGTCAGGAGAGGTTTCGAAGTGTCACACATGCGTACTACAGGGATGCACAGGGTAAGTCTGCTAATTAAAGCTGCATGCCAAACAGTCTAAATATCTGTACTCATTTAAAAAAAAAAATATTTAAGGCTCCGTGCACACTAGCATTTAAGCTCATAGAAGCTGTTAGCATTTTTTTTTCTGCTCCTAGAAGCTGAATAGTGTTATCCTATGTGTCCGTGTATAATACATTAGGCTATTAGCGTTTTTTGAGCTTCAATGTCTAAGAGCAGAAAAAAAATAGTTGTAGAGTTTCTTTGGAGTGTTTTTCCTACAGGAAAAAAAAAAATGCTACTAAAACGCTCCTAACAGCTTTTTTTTTTTTTTTTTTTTTTTTTTTCTACACGCACTGTAAAAATGTTAATAAAAAGCGTACAATCCTAAATGCTACTACCAGCATAGGATAAATTAAATTCAGTTTTTTTTTTTTTGAGCTAAAAAAAGATAGAAAAACGCAGGTGTGCATGGAGCCTAAATGGATATTTAACCAGTTGCCCGCCACCCTATAGCAGAAATATTGCTACAGGGTGGCAGGGCTGCGAAAGGCTGTGTGTGTATATGTGATTTGCATTTCCAGGTAGGGACTGTGTGCCATTGGCTGCTACGGTTGTCAATCACTGGGTCCCGGCTGGAGATTCTCCGCCAACACCCGGCGATCGCCGAGTAACACTGGCAGGAGAGAGATCTTTGTGTAAACACGGGTCTCTCTCCTGCCAGCAACAACATGCTTCTATGTATTTCTCTGCACAGCACAGAAATACACAGCAGCATGTTTCCCAAGTAAAACACACACAGCACATGATGTAAAACATCACGTGGTTAACCCTTGGATCGCCCCATATGTTAACCCCTTCCTGCTCAGTGTCATTAGTACAGTGTCGGTGATTTTTATTAGCACTGATCACTGTATTGGTGTCATTGGGATGTTAGTGGCAGTTAGTCCCCACCCAGTGTTTAGTGTTTTTTTTTTTGTTTGTGTTTTTTTTTCAAAATTTGTCTTTTTGTTGATGACACAAAAAATAAACACACAGGTGATCAAATACCACCAAAAGAAAACTCTATTTGTGGGGAGCGCAGCGCCATATTGCAAAAAATGGCCTGGTCAGGAAGGGGTGTAAATCCTTTGGAGGACAAGTGGCTAAAGAACGGTTTTCAGGAATCGTCTAAAGGTGGATAGATTAGGAGATATTTGGAAAGATTGAGTAGGGAGTTATATAGGATGGGAGAAGCTCAGGAGAAGTCCTGGAGGTGAGCATGGGAGGAGGTGACACGGTAACTAGAGAACAGAAGGTCTTAGGAGGATCAAAGAGCGATTTTGGTTGGTATTTTGAAACCAAGTTGGTGATGTAACTGGGGGCAGAGTTGTGGATGGCTTTGTAAGTTGTTAATAATTTGAATTTTATTAGTTGAGCGAATGGAAGCCAGTGGAGGGATTGGCAGAGAGAGGTAGGTAGCAGACACTGGACGGTTGGTAGTGGATGAGCCTGGCAGCAGTATTCATGATGGACTGGAGTGGGGATAGCCTATGTAAAGGTAAGCCAATGAGGAGGGAGTTGCAGTAGTCAAGATGAGAGATAACCAGGGTGTGAATTAGGAGCTTTTGGTCTCATTGGTTAAAAAGGGGCGTATTCTGGAGATGTTGAGGCGGCATGATATGGACAGGGATTGGATGTGGGCCTGAAAGGATCGTTCGGAATCCAGGGTTACCCCTAGCACCTGGCATGCAGGGATGCGTTGATAGTGGTGCTATTGATCTTGACTGAGAAATCGGGGGGCATAGGCACGTGGGGCAGAAATATTATGAGCTCAGTTTTGGATGGATAGATTGAGTTTTAGGAAGTGGTATGACATCCAGTCTGATATGTCTGTTTAGTTAATCAGTGATACATGAGGAAACTGATGGAGGTGAGCTGAGGAGTAGAAAGAGATTTTTGTGTTATCGGCATACAAATGGTATTGGAAACCATGGGAAGCTGTCAGCTGACCCAAGGAAGAAGTGTAGATGAAGGATAGGAGAGGTCCAAGGACAGAACCTTGGGGGACCCTAACCGTAAGAGAGGAGGAAGTAGAGTTGTGACAATGAAGGTGTGGTGAGATGGATAAGATTCAAACCAACTGGGAGTACCTCATAGATGTCTGCAGCAGATGTGTGTTCTCCTATGACACTCTTTAAAGTGGCTATAAACCCTACCATATACCCAGTGAAGTGACTGACCTCAGGTGATACACAGATCCTCTCAAATAAGTTGTTCCTGTTTGTCTGCAGCCATCTCTCCTTTTTATAGCCGTTCCAAATCCTGAATTCATAAAGCTTTTCTGAACTTTTAGAAAACTGGGAAGAGCTCTGAAATTACACTCTCCAGAGCTCAGTGAGGAGAGCTCTAAGTGTTGATTGGAGGGAAGGGACACACCTCCCTGCACACAGGAACAGAGAGCTGAGGATGTCAATCACAGGTGCTGTTCTGGAGCTTCCTCCCGTTACCTTTTTTTCTCATGGTGTCAGGAAAACTGGCCAGAAGTGACTCCTGCTGATGGCAGAGGAACAAAGCTGCAGACAAAAATGACACTTGGTGCCCCTAATTGAGACCAGTACACACTATAGAGGGCTATGCTCTCTTATGTCTGAGGCTTACAACCACTTTAAGGTTTGAATAGCACTCAAAGAACACTGAGTTTGTCTGTCTGTTTTTTATTCAGTTGTGGGGCCACTTATCTACAGTATCTTGAATTACTCCAACCACCACCACCCCACAGTGGCCCAAGCCACACAATGAGCACCAATGTGCAGATTGGTGGTGCTACCTCCAATATCCACATTTTAAATGACACGACCAGTGTCTGTATTACAAGTATCCTATTATAAAAGTCTCAGTATGATCATTTGTGCTGATAACGTATATTTCTCTTCCCATAGCGTTACTCCTCTTGTATGACATTACCAGCAGGCAATCATTTGAAAACATCCGTGTGAGTAAAAAATCACCTTGTGGCTCTAGAAATTCTAAAAGTATCTTTTCTATAGAATGGTGCTGAAGCAATACGTATAACTGTTAAATGATCACCATATGGATATCTCCCTATTCAGTCCATAGAGGCTTGTTCACACTATGGCCATTGATCTACGCAGGCTCAACACCAGGGCACATAGAAATAAACTGCAGCAATAAGAATTTTTCTGTTGAATATTTTTTTTAATTGAAGGTTTTCAAAGTTACAATAGAATAATATGTACATATAGACTGAGGTTCTTAACCTTGGCGCCAGGGTTCAGTAAATTCTAGGGGTTGATGGCTGTTCGGTCTGGGCGAGCTTTGCAGGGTTCAGGGGCACGGTGGGCCACTATGGGACATTGGGTGGCCCTATGGGGAGATCAGGGGATTTGTAGCTGGTCAAAGGTCCAAGATCAGAAAGGCCGCAGCTTGGTAGATTGCCATGGCCCATTGGTTGAGAACCACTCATGTAGATCCATATCAAATGTTGGGGTCAGCTGCAAATCCACATCCATCAACCAAACAGACATTAATTTTTACCATAAACTGAAGCAGTCACAGAGGTATCTATAAATTTTCTAGGGCCTTTGGAGGGAATCCCTTGTGGTTGGAACAGTAATGACAATAGAGTACAAGCTTTTGGCCATTCTGCATTTTTAATGCAGCTGAACGCACAGCACCATATTTTACCCCAGTGCATTGCAATCTACTGCAACGCTTAGACTTGAATGAAATGCATGTAAATTGTGGAGCATGCATTACATGGTACATAATACATGTAGGCTGGTGTTAACCATGCTAGAACACCCACAATCTGAGTCCATCCCATGTCTGTCTTTAGCATTTTATTAAAAGGGGAATTGGGAATTTTGTGTACAGAGCATTTTATGTTGGTTTAAAGGGAATGTATGGTGCTTTGTATATATTTTCCCTCTTTTTATAGGTTGAAGGCTGAACATTTTTTATTTTTTTTATTAAAGTAGACTTTGCAGTAAAGGTCTGCTTATTAGATCAGGTGTCCCCTTTCAGTCTGAAGGTAAAAAAACAAACAAAAGGTAAGGAAAAAGCAGGCAGACATACATTTCTGATCCTTCCAGCAAGATCCCAGGGTATGCTGAGAACCCCAAATCTTGCAAGAAGATGCTTCAACACAGTTTCACAAACCTATTGTGAGATTTAAGGATAAATCTCAGGTGCTGTGAATAGAAATGGGGAGTAAGGCAAGTATCTCTAACACTTTCCCGTACATTTTTCATGCTGCTATTTATAATGTGTGGGGGGGGGGGGGGCCTGATCTATTAGGCCTGATCTATTAAGCAAACCTTGCTTTTTACTGGAAGATCTGCTTTAATATGAAATATTGCATATGAATATTTCCTTTTCAAATATCCAGCTAGCCGATAGTGCTTTAGGTTCCTTCTTGCATTTTACCATGGGTACCTGTTGTTTGGAACTTTAAAAAAAAAAAAAAAAAAAAAAAAAAAAGCTTGTTTCACAGAGATCAGTAGCTAAAGCGATGATTTGCACACTCAAGTGAGACAAATCTCTGGCTCCTCACCCCCTTGCCTACCTGTTCTATGTAGATGAACGTGTACAAACCTGTCACACTAGCATCATGAGGACACCTATTAAATATGTATTGGTAAAATGTATGACTTTAAAAAAAAAAACCTTTAAAAACAGTGCGTGTGTGTGTGTATACACTACATTGCCAAAAGTATTGGGACACCCCTCCAAATTATTGGATTCAGGTGTTCCAATCACCTCCATGGCCACAGGTGTATAAAATCAACCACCTAGGCATGCAGACTGCTTCTACAAACATTTGTGAAAGAATGGGTCGCTCTCAGGAGCTCAGCGAATTCAACGGGGCACCGTGATAGATTGCCACCTGTGCAATAAGTCCATCTGTGACATTTCCTGGCTACTAAATATTCCACGCTCAACTGTTAGTGGTATAACAAAGTGGAAGAAACTGGGAACAGCAAGTCAGCCACCAAGTGGTAGGCTACAAAAAATGACAGAGCGGGGTCAGCGCATGCTGATGCACACAGTGCGCAGAAGTCGCCAACTGTCTGCAGAGTCAATAGCCAAAGACCTCCAAACGTCATGTGGCCTTCAGGTTAGCACAATAGTGCATAGCGAGCTTCATGGAATGGGTTTCCATGGGCGAGCAGCTGCACCCAAGCCTTACATCACCAAGTGCAATGCAAAGCATCGGATGTAGTGGTGTAAAGCACGCCACCACTGGACTCTAGAGCAGTGGAGACGTGTTCTCTGCAGTGACCAATCACGCTTGTCTGGCAATGTGATGGATGTGTCTGGGTTTGGCAGTTGCCAGGAGAACTTTGCCTTGCTGACTGCATTGTGCCACGTGTAAAGTTTGGTGGAGGGGGATTATGATGTGGGGTTGTTTTTCAGGGGTTGGGCTTGGCCCTTAGTTCCAGTCAAGGGAACTATTAAGGTGTCGGCATACCAAGACATTTTGCACAATTTCATGCTCCCAACTTTGTGGGAACAGTTTGGGGATGGCCCCTTCCTGTTCCAACATGACTGCGCACCAGTGCACAAAGCAAGGTCCATAAAAACATGTATGAGCGAGTTTGGGGTGGAGGAACTTGACTGGCCTGCACAGAGTCCTGACCGCAACCTGATTAGAACACCTTTGGGATAAATTGGAGACTACGAGCCAGGCCTCTTCGTCCGACATCAGTACCTGACCTCACAAATGTGCTTCTGGAAGAATGGTCAAACCTTCCCATAGACACCCTCCTAAACCTTGTGGACAGCCTTCCCAGAAGAGTTGAAGCTGTTATAGCTGCAAAGGGCGGGGCCAACTCAATATTGAACCCTACGGACTAAGACTGGGATGTCATTAAAGTGCATGTGCGTGTAAAGGCAGGCCAACCAATACTTTTGGCAATATAGTGTGTGTGTGTGTGTGTGTGTAATATATATAATTTGGAATGCTGTGTCCTTTTTTGTTAGGGTTTTTCTGCTTCCTTCCCGTTTATAACCATGTGGCAGGAGGTGGTGAGAAATCTTTCCACCTGGGACAGAGGAATGTTTTATTTGGAGAAGTATCTCAACCTTTGTTTAGTGCAGTCTTCCTTTTTCCATTGATACCTGTTCTTGTATTGGTATCACATGGACAGGAAGTGAGAAGAAATCTCCCCAGTGAGTCACAGATGGCTATGTAAACCTGAAAGGATTTGTAACCATTTCCTACTCTATTGAAGGTTTCATTTGAAGTTGATCTTCAAATCGTGGTGTGCTTTGTGTATCTATTCCAGATTTGTGCAGTAAATCAGTGTGAGACTTTACCTCTTTGTAGGGTTTTCCTGTAATATAGACCGGTCGCCTTCCTTGTGCAGGATGACTGGTCTTGTCTCTGCCCCCTCCTGTAGTTTTCTGCCGACAGCTGGTAGTAGTAGGTGGGCCTCTCCCACAACTCTGCTCTCCATACAGGCCACATACTTCTCAGTGAAGTCACTACTACCATTACAAGGTAATGGCTGTAGGTTTGTATCCTTTTGTGACTGAGGAATATAATCAATTAAAAATACCCTGTGCCTAGAGTTCAGCTTTGAACCTTTAGGCCCCTTTCACACTAACAGTCCAATCGGGTCCACTTGTTTCTTCAAGTGGACCCGTCCAGACTCTCCATTCTCCTCTTTGGAGTTGCAGGTGTAAATGGACATGTGACAATTAACACCCACCTACATCCAATCTGATCCGCTAAAAACAGGCAGACTGGGATCGTGTTCCACTCCATCTGATGGGATCGGATGGCAGTAGTGTAAATGGACAGTGTGACCTGTGGGTCATTCACCTGCTCAGTGGTGACCAGCGGACAGGTAACCACTGAGCAAGCAAAGTTTGCTCCATGTGAAAGGGAGCTTACTGCAATCGTCATAAATAAGCCACAGAATGTGTACAGGAAACTCCAACCTCCAGGGTTTCTGGTCTCGTCCAAGCATAACTTTGGAGCACCAAGCCACCCTACTGATAAGCTGCTGGTGTTCTGGAGTCACCACATCTTCTGTAGTTTAAAGTGCTGGTGTCCTGGGTTTGGTTTCAAAGGTTTTATCAAAGTTTGCATATGGTCCTTGTGTTTTTGTGTGGGTTACTATCCAAAAACATAGGCTGTTGGAAATAGGAGGTGGAGGGCTGGAGACTCTGGGGGCCAGGTGGAATAACTGGTCCCTTAAATATTCAGGTTGGAGTGGGCATACTCATGTGTAGGGGCCTATCCAACGTATTGGCTCATTGCGTATCGGACTCAATTTGATCTTGGAATGAACTAGTTATTTGTCCCCAGCATTTATGTGGAATTGTTGGATTATGACCTTTTGATTATCTGGACATACACCCGGTTTAGTACACCAGTGAATGCATGCTCAAATGGATATATTCCCTTTCTATGCCTCTCTATACGGAGTGCAGATTTATTCTCTACATACATGATGATATACCAGTGGAAAGGAGTCTCCTATTTTCCTGAACTCCCTGCATGCTTTGTAGCATCTCCATTTCCATGGTACCCTGTGCGATGTGATCCCTGTACTGACTCCATCTCTCCAAAAACTAATCTCGGTGCCCATTCACACGGCTTAGTGACTACATATTACAGAATTCAAGGAAGTAAATGTATGGGGATCCTCTCAAAGTAAGTTTTACAAACCCCAGCATTGTTCATATTATTAAAGTGATTGTAATGTTTCCAATATCTTTTTCTAAATAACAAACATGTTCTACTTACCTGCTCTGTGCAATGATTTTGCACAGAGCCAGGAGCGGACTGACCATTTGGAAACTCGGGCACTGCCCGGGGTCAGTAGGGGGCCCCATGAGATGCCCCTGGTACCTTTTTTCATAGGATTTTTTGAGTTTGGGCAAGGACACAGGGGCCCCATGATCCCCTATTGAGGGCCTGGGGTCAGTAGGGGGCCCCATGAGATAACCCTGGTACCTTTTTTTCATAGGCTTTTTTGAGTTTGGGCAAGGACACAGGGGCACCATGATCCCCTATTGCCCGGGGCCCCATGAGTTGTCAGTCCGCCCCTGCACAGAGCAGTTCCACTCCTCTTCTTGGGTCCCCTGCTGCTGCTCCTGGCCCCTCCCCCCCCCTCCCTTTTGAGTACCCCCATAGCAAGCTGCTTGCTCTGGGGGCACTCGTGCCTGCTCACTCCCAAGCTGCCTCTGTGTGTTTGAGACACACAGAGCATGGCTCAGACCTGTCCCACCTCCCTCCTTACTGGCTGTGATTGACAGCAGTGGGAGCCAATGGCTCCTGCTGCTGTGTTTTTAGCCAAACCCAGGAGAGCTTCTTTTGCTCTTGTGCACATTGGTGGGGGTCTGCTGCACACTAAAGGTTTTATACCTTTATGCATAGAATGCATGAAAGTTTAAAAGAAAAAACTTTCTGAATTTAGAACCACTTTAAGAGTAGGCTAGAAATAGTTGAAATACAATATTGAAATGAATATATGATTTTACATTATCACCATAGAAGCACTTTAACTCATTTGGAAAAGTCCCACTTCTGTGTACCCTGCCATATGCTGTGGTTCCATTCCCAATGCCCACAATTGGACACAGTAGGGTTTGGAGGAGGGAACCCCAGGGGACAGTCATCTCACACTGCTGGAAGTGACATGGTTGATGTAATCATCAAGGCAACCCATAAAACAAGGAGCCCATACAAACAGGGTCACGTTAACTGGATTCTCAGCTATCTCACTGTGATGGGGACGTTGGACTGTAAGCTCTTCAGCAATGGGGACTATTGGGAATAGTTCAACCACTATTTAGTAAAAGTGTTGGTGCTAAAAAAACAAGCTAAGAACTGTCGCTCTATATATATATATCTCCTCTGTACCCTCTATATATATCTCCTCTGTACCCTCTATATATATCTCCTCTGTACCCAAGTCTTCTCTATAACTGTTTACATTGTTCCTAGCTCTCCTCCACCCCTCTCCTTCCTGACATTGTTATAGGAGGGCAGCGTCTCGGCAGTAGTTGTGTAGCTGGGAGGACGTAGCTTTGAGTTGTAGAATGGGGATATCGGACTCCTGTCCTTAGATGGACAGCATAGGCCAATGGAAATACTTTGGTCTAGAAATAGAAGATATCGGTCGGTGAATTTGAAAATGCCATTAAAATGTAACTAAACCCACCACAGTAAAATCAGTCTGTATATGCAGTAAAGCATGCTTGTTATACTCACTGTGGAACCAAAGGGGGTTAATCCTCTGCATTGTGCAAAAACGCTGTTTGATCCTGTCTTCTCTGATCTGCCTTCTTCCAGTGACCTCCCCTCTTATTTCCTGATAAGACATATAGTGTGGCAACACTCTGCACATACCCAGTTATAGCATCAGTACCTTAGGACATATAGCATAATGTTGAAATCCTATATAAACGTAATACATATATGTGCGTGATGATACTACCAAGGTAAAAGATGGAAAACAGATGTGCAACCCCTACACACAGTGCACATATATAGATATAAAGTCCAGTGATCCTATATCAATATTTTCACTCAAACAGAGTCCATGGACTGTATGTGGACCCGCACACCACCACGTGCAATCCGAAAACAGCCAAAGTGGCCTCTCACCTCCTCCCTGCGACCCTGCAGGGCCACAGAGCTTTAACAGATCCCCACTGAGTCAAGGTATGCTTCCTCTTGAGTGGATGGTTACTTTAGTATATCTCCAGTATACAGCTTCCACCTCTCCTATAGTATCCTCCGAGGTAAGCTGAGCAGGATGGACCCCAGCTCAAGCCCCCATAGGATAAAGGAAGCAAAAGACATCCTCCATAGTGTAAAACCGTTTAATGAATGCCAGAAAATAAATGTATAGTACACTCACATTTGCCAGATGAAATACAAGCTGTTTCCCATACCATGGGTGTAAGCGTGTGGCTGAGGGTGTACCAAAATGGCGCCGCGCCGGAAGTGCGTCACCACGTATTGCCGTCGGACGGCAATACGTGGTGACGCACTTCCGGCGCCATTTTGGTACACCCTCAGCCACACGCTTACACCCATGGTATGGGAAACAGCTTGTATTTCATCTGGCAAATGTGAGTGTACTATACATTTATTTTCTGGCATTCATTAAACGGTTTTACACTATGGAGGATGTCTTTTGCTTCCTTTATCCTATGGGGGCTTGAGCTGGGGTCCATCCTGCTCAGCTTACCTCGGAGGATACTATAGGAGAGGTGGAAGCTGTATACTGGAGATATACTAAAGTAACCATCCACTCAAGAGGAAGCATACCTTGACTCAGTGGGGATCTGTTAAAGCTCTGTGGCCCTGCAGGGTCGCAGGGAGGAGGTGAGAGGCCACTTCGGCTGTTTTCGGATTGCACGTGGTGGTGTGCGGGTCCACATACAGTCCATGGACTCTGTTTGAGTGAAAATATTGATATAGGATCACTGGACTTTATATCTATATATGTGCACTGTGTGTAGGGGTTGCACATCTGTTTTCCATCTTTTACCTTGGTAGTATCATCACGCACATATATGTATTACGTTTATATAGGATTTCAACATTATGCTATATGTCCTAAGGTACTGATGCTATAACTGGGTGTTTTAGCGCTACATCATTTTTATCTTCTTCTGCATCTTGTTTGATCTTGGGGTATTGGATCAGATGTTAGCAGCTTCATACGTCTATTAATTGTATTGTACATAGGAGCGCAAGCAGATCCTTAATAACACTCTGCACATGCTGAGTTTGGTGTGTATTGCTAGGGTTTTTTCTTTTCTTGGGAGAGTGCATGTGATCAACACAAGTCCAGGCAGAGGGTCAGGGTTCTGCATCCTCCTACAGCAAAGTGAAAACTCCTCATACAGGCTTTAACCAGTGCTCTGAAGGATGCTGATAGAAGTCACAAGGATACTTGAACTGCTGATGAGAAAATGTATTTTAGCAGTTACTAAAATAATTGCATTTCCATGTTCTGTGTACTGTGGGAGACCAGATATAGTGAATGCAGGGTCCTGGGAGACCAGATATAGTGAATGCAGGGTCCTGGGAGACCAGATATAGTGAATGCAGGGTCCTGGGAGACCAGATATAGTGAATGCAGGGTCCTGGGAGACCAGATATAGTGAATGCAGGGTCCTGGGAGACCAGATATAGTGAATGCAGGGTCCTGGGAGACCAGATATAGTGAATGCAGGGTCCTGGGAGACCAGATATAGTGAATGCAGGGTCCTGGGAGACCAGATATAGTGAATGCAGGGTCCTGGGAGACCAGATATAGTGAATGCAGGGTCCTGGGAGACCAGATATAGTGAATGCAGGGTCCTGGGAGACCAGATATAGTGAATGCAGGGTCCTGGGAGACCAGATATAGTGAATGCAGGGTCCTGGGAGACCAGATATAGTGAATGCAGGGTCCTGGGAGACCAGATATAGTGAATGCAGGGTCCTGGGAGACCAGATATAGTGAATGCAGGGTCCTGGGAGACCAGATATAGTGAATGCAGGGTCCTGGGAGACCAGATATAGTGAATGCAGGGTCCTGGGAGACCAGATATAGTGAATGCAGGGTCCTGGGAGACCAGATATAGTGAATGCAGGGTCCTGGGAGACCAGATATAGTGAATGCAGGGTCCTGGGAGACCAGATATAGTGAATGCAGGGTCCTGGGAGACCAGATATAGTGAATGCAGGGTCCTGGGAGACCAGATATAGTGAATGCAGGGTCCTGGGAGACCAGATATAGTGAATGCAGGGTCCTGGGAGACCAGATATAGTGAATGCAGGGTCCTGGGAGACCAGATATAGTGAATGCAGGGTCCTGGAGACCAGATATAGTGAATGCAGGGTCCTGGGAGACCAGATATAGTGAATGCAGGGTCCTGGGAGACCAGATATAGTGAATGCAGGGTCCTGGGTTTAGTAACCCTTTAAAGCCCAACTCCAGGCTAATAAAAGTTTTCCCATGCAGTGGGGCTGTGCCTGCAAAGCATGGGTTAACTGATTGTTTTGCCCAGGGGGGACCAGAAAGCAGTATACGCACCTGATCCTCTGCTCCAGTGGCAAACGGTGCTCCCCCATGATCCAGCAGTGGACTGTTCCTGATGTCCCAATCCAGAGTCAGTCTGAGCTTGACGTCAGAAACAGTCTACCGCACTAGACCTTTGGGGGGGGGGGGGCAGGAGTTGCAGGGACCAATCTTGTGCGGTGAGGATTCAGTAAGTATAGCTCCCTTCTCTAGTCCCCTAGACAAAAAACGAGTGGTTAACCCTTGCAGTGCCTACAGCCCCACTGCAAGGGAAAACTTTTTTTTTTTCCTGGTTTTGTCTTTGTTATTTTTTTAATGCAACTTATTCTAGAATAAGTTGACTTTACTAATGGGACCCATAAGAGCTTTTTCTTTCCACTCACTCCCCTGTCATCCTGATCTGCCACCAAAGCTGGAAGAAATGCTCCATACTTCTGGTTGTTGGAACATATAACCCTGCCTGCCGCTCATGCCTCACTCTCTGCCTGTTGCCACCCTCACATTGAAGCCTGGGGTCTTCATTGTGCATTTTCTCCAGGAATCTGGGCAGTTTGGCAGCAGATTTGGAACATGGCGAGTTAAGTGAAGTAAGTTTATGTACCCCAATGGGGTGGGGGGATGGAACATTGGTTGAGGTGAGGGGAACCCTGCCACTTGGCTGCCCATCTTGGACTGCGTAGAGTTGGAACTGTCAGATTTGTATTGCTATCTGTGTCCCCATTTGGGAGATTTCCCCTGACTTTGTCTGAATAGGAGGTTGTGGCAGATCGTCTTCTTTTTTTTTTTTTTTCCCCTCCATCAGTAAAATGTCAAAAGGTTTGAACTTCGTCTAGGTTACGGTCTGTGCCTTCCTACCCAGGGGCGGACTGACCATTCAAGCACTCGGGCACTGCCCGAGGGCCCGGGGTCAGTAGGGGCTTTTATTGGCTTTTTCATAGGCTTTTTTGGGTGTGGGCGAGGACACAGGGACCCCATGATCCCCTATTGCCCGGGGGCCCCATGAGTTGTCAGTCCGCCCCTGTTCCTACCCAAGTAACAACTTCTAGTTGATTTCATGTCGTGCTATCATACAAACAGAAAGTGAGGTGAAAACTCCCCAATTGGGTCACAGATGGCAATAAAGGCTTACAGTAGTTTGTAAACCCTTAATCAGCATTCATTGTGCTGCTGTGCATACCAAAGTACATGTGCATTAAAGGAAAAAATAATTAAATTCATATAAACAAAAGACTTCATAAAGCTTGTGCTGTACAACAAACTTGTGAATAAATCACAAAGTTCATAAAGATTCTATAAAAGTCCACAACCAAAAAACCTATTTGTGTGGATTAAAAAGCCCAGGGGGTTCCATCAGTAGGCAATTTCTTCACCACTTGTGAACACCATCGAATGCAAGCTACTAACCAGACTGTTATACCCCAAATTATGCTGTCTAGCCACGTTTTAGGGAGCCCAAAATGGATGGATGGGTAGATGCCTGTTTTTCAAGACGAATTCTCCTGCGCTCTAGGACCCAGACAGGTGGCGAATGGATGGAACCAGACCTGGAAAAATCGTCCACCAATGCGTAAAGGATTGTGCGGCTCCAAACAAGGCTGGGGAAGCCCAACCAATACTGCAGAATGAAATGAAAATGAGAAGCGCACCAACCTTGCGCATTACCTCAGTAACCAAAATTTATTAATTGTAAAAATATACTCACAAACAGCGAATGAAATCAGGCATGCAAGTCCTCAAAGGGACTTGAAGATAGCACGAAACCCCATCAAGGGGATGGATATTCAGTACAGCTGACGCGTTTCAAAGGGTGTCCCTTCTTCATCAGAGCTAGATGAAGAAGGGACACCCTTCGAAATGCGTTTGTGAGTATATTTTTACAATTAATACATTTTGGTTACTGAGGTAATGCGCAAGGTTGGTGCGCTTCTCGTTTTCATTTCATAGATGCCTGTTTTACCAGCCCTTCAGGTACATATTTGAGGGATGGATCAGTAGATGGACAATCACCCTTTGATTCAACAGATGGTATATATGCTCTCTCTCCACCTATACACCGCTCATCTCTCCAGCAACACTGATCCTCTACAGACCATGTCGGCCAATAGTTATAACAGATTTGCAAGAGGACTAACTTTCATGGTGCAGTAATTAAAACTATGTTTTATTAAAATTAGAAATGTACTTACAAGGATAAAAGTTTAAATCGCATCAATCGTAGTCAGCAACTTGAAGGGCATGTTGACACCACTCTATGCGTTTCGTCGAGAGTTCAGCAAAAAGAGGGCGGAGAGCTGAAGTTTCATCAGTGAGGAGGTGAGTTCTGAGAGCTGATTGGAGGGAAAAGACACAAACTGCTCTTAAAACGGCTCACAGGAACAGAGCTGAGGCTGCCAATCTGCTGGAGGTCCTCCCCTGTCATCATTTTTTTTTTTTTTTTTTTCTTGGCGTCAGGAAAACTTCTCAGAAGTGAGCGACGAAGCAGCAGAGAGAAATGACACTTGGTGCTCTGGATTGAGACAAGTACACACTATAGAGAGATATGCTCTGTTCATATTTCATGTCTGAGGTATACATAGTTACATAGTCTGGCTGAAAAAAGACCATCCAGTTCAACCATAGAAAAAGAAAAAAAAAAAGTTATCCTACACCCACAGTTGATCCAGAGGAAGGCAAAAAAAAAAAAATATTCAGCAAAGCACAATCCAATTTACTCCTGGTGGGGAAAAAAATGCCTTCCTGATCCCCTGAGAAGCAATCTGATATTCCCTGGATCAACTTTTCCCTATAAATGTTATATTCTGTGTATACAACCACTTTAAAGCTAAACTTCAGGCATAAAAACTTTAATTTAAATATGTTCCTAAATAGCCTAAAAAGGATATAAATCCACTGCCTTTTCAGATCTAGATATCGCTATGTAGCAGTGATACAATCACTGTGTTGTACATAGCCTGAGCAGAGCTGTGGGAGGGGCCCAGCAACTCCACCTACTACAGGAGGGGGCGGAGACGAGACCAGTCACCCTGCACAAAGAGAGAGAGCAATAGTGAGCGGTCTGTATCACAGGAAGCTCCTTCAGTTACTGCACAAATTTGGAAGAAATATTCAAAGCGCATCAACTAAGAATACACATGCCTATCGTATATAGACAATATGTACTTCTCCTGAAGGTATTTACATTTCTACAGCCAAACAAAAATTTAACAAAACGTCACTAGAGTTTGGGCTCTCTTAAATGAAGTTTACAATTCATTCCTTTCACATCTTTGTATGTTTTTTTTTTTTTTTTTCTTTTTTTTTTTTTCTGATATCAGGCTTGGCTTGCAGAGGTGCACGAATATGCTCACAAGGATGTGGTCATCATGCTGCTCGGCAACAAGGTATTTGTAACTTCCTGAACTTCTGCGCTTCTCCGAATTGGGACACCCACTAGATGGTTTTGCATACGACGTGTACATTATCTGTATCACTGTGCGTTAGGTGCAGTACTTTGTGCGGCTGCAGCAATTCTTTAGCAGTGTCCTCTGTACATACACATACAGATGTCCTTCTGTAGCCAGTTGCAAAATTGGAACTCTGCTTTTGAGTTATCTAGTTGCAGACACAGTATACGTACAATAAGGTTTGCACACCATTTAATTGTATTATTATTTTTGTACTTTCCATCCTCCCTGCTAGTTTGTATGCTGGTTAAAAAAAAAATTCCTCTTTTCATACCTGTTCAAAAAAAAAAAAAAAAAAGTATGGGACTCCATCTTCAAGTGTGTGTGTGTTTTGTTTTTTTTTTTTTTTTTTTTTTTTTTTTTTAGTTCTTACTTCCCTTTCCTCTTTCATCTTTAGTATTAAACGGATTGTCTCTTAAACTCTATAAAAGATCCCAAACAAAAATGTAATATAGGGAACCTACAATCCTTAGATGTGGTGGCTGTTTATTGTTTTTTTTTTTTTTTTTTTGAAGCTTTGTATTCCCTTTTATTTTGACCCGGTGAGTCTGCCAATAGTAATGTTCCTGTTCTAGGGTAACAAATTTCCTACCTAAATGTTTAGCTGTTTTTAAGGAAAAGACAAGGGTTTTTTTTTTTTTTTTTTTTTTTTTTTGGGGGGGTTTTTTATAGGGAAGATGAATAGAAAACTAAGTTAATGTACATAATACCTTTTTATTCATTTTTTTTTGTATTCATTTTTTTTGTGTGTGTGTGTGTGTGTATATATATGTATATGTGTGTGTGTGTGTGTGTGTGTGTGTGTGTGTATATATGTATATGTATATGTATATATATATATATATATATATATATATATATATATATATATATAATTTTTTTTTCTTTTTTTCTTTCTCTGTGCACAGTGAGAGCTGCAGTCAGCAGGTTTATTTGTAAATAAATCTCATATAACCGCCATGATTAGCATTTGTGGCATCACATGATCAGAAACCAACCTCATATGACCGCCATGATCAGCACTCGTGGTATTACATGATCAGAAACCATATGGACTAATACCTGATTGTTGTGAGTCCTGCAGTTTCCAGCAACAGAACTGGTCTATAGCAGGGATGTTAACATTTGCATGCCAAGAGTGACCGCTTGAGAATGTTAAAGCCAGCCTCATGGCAAATTAACAAAAATTGCCCCAGCAATAATGCCTTTCTGCCACTAGATGTCCTCCAACTCAAAAACAAGGACGCCCTTGTGAGTATGGGGCATCCTGCACCCACTCCCTGAGAGGGCAACACTGCTGTCTGCGTTTTTTGTAGAGCAGGTGTGTCCAACTCAACTTCATCGTGGGCCGCATCGGTATTCTGGTTCCCCTCAAAGGGCTGGTTGTAACTCTAAGACTATACAAATGTATCTTCTCTTTATCATATTAAATTGCCTCTGCA